GTCCTCCAAGACCGAGCCGCGCGCGCGTTCTGGGTTATTGGTATTTAAATTTCTTCCATTTCGCGGGAATGGCGTTGTCGGTTGTAGGTTAATTACACACCTACGTGACCGCGTGGGACGTAGTAATTATATTGTCGCCGTGAGCGCGAGCGGCTTCGAATGGCGGAGATAATAATGGGGCCCGCGGCACGACGTCTCGCGGGCGAGAAAAATTGCTCGCGTATTTGCACAGCGGTCGTACGGAGCGATCAAATTAGAGCGATGTTTCGATTGCGAACGATTAGACTTAATTGCCTAATTAGTTCTGTCGCGTAGACCGTCGTTCGACTTCCAAGAGGGATTCAGTAGTACGGGAAAGTCGCGGGTCAGACGCGCGACGCGGGCTCCGCCGTGAAGGATTAAAGTCATTTTCGCTACCAGCGTTCCTCGCATTATGCTAGTCGTTCTACGTATAAAGCTGTCAAGATTTCTCTCTGGCGCAAGTTTTCTTTTGTGCGTGCTTACAAACGAGATATTGTTAAAACAGGCAAGATCTGTGTGTGTGTCTTGTATCATTTAGACTACGAGAATTAACTCGACAAAAGTTTTTGCCAACTTCTTTTATATGTATTACAATTATATTAGATTTATTCTAGTTTAGTTCAGTTGGTTTGCGTCATTATTTCATTGTTTCATTGCTATATAAAATCTGTTATATGATTACTAAATACTATACACACTATTACACACACATTAATCGAAACAAATGTAGAAACGGAAGCCACCCAAAGCCGCAAGACAAGGATTAAATTAATAATAAATAATTATATTAGATTTATGTGTAAATTCTTATACAATCACCGTGATTTCTGTAAGAATTGCGTAGCACAAAATGTTATCAAATATCCTTCTCGAGAAGATTTATATTCAGTTTAAAAATAACCATTGTAACCTTCCGTCTATCAAGCCGATTTAATTTGCTTGTACATTTTCCCCTTAAATTTTTACCATTTTTCGTAAAAATCTTTGTAAGTTGCAGCAGGAAATATCTAAACATTACGGCACTAAAAATCTTGTCTTTCCTGCGTTTGCTTCGACAACGAAAATATTTGCGAGGAAATCGATAGCGTTCATTTCGTGAAACGATATTTCGTCGACGCATGTCGCGCGAAAACACGCATTACGAGATTAAAACAAACGGCCGGAACAGATAAAAACGTACACACTTGTATACTCTCTTTATTACGATCGGCAAACAAATTGCGCAGCGATACTTTCGCGCAAACGGTGCGGAAGAAAATGCAAAAAAAATAATCGACACCAGCCGCGCTCGGCTTGACACAGTTTGAGAGGATTTCCTCGCAGTCCCTTAGCGACAAATCTTTTTTCGAAATTTTTCAAGCTAAGCCGAGGAGATGGGTCAGGTATGGGTCGATATTTGTTGGAAACGCGGAGAGATGCGTCCTTACATATTGTCCTGCGTTATCGTCGAAGTTTCCCAACGTTTTCGATTCTATTCCGCACGTATGCATGCACTCGTATATCGGGTGAACAAACGAAAATCTAAGAAAAATATTACGCGACTCGAGGTACTCGCGTATCTGGAACGAATTGAATCTTTATGAATAAAAAAAAAAGAAAAGATTATTGATGCTTACGTAAAAATGTGAGATAACGGGGAAGCCAACGGCATACGACATTATTTTTCCTACTGGTTTGCTTACGAGAGCCAATCAAGATGCAGAGTTTTCGATCAGGTGACCCAAAGCTGAAACCTAATTGGCTCTCTTAAGGAATCCAGTAGGAAAAATAGTATCGTGTACCGTTGGCTTAACACACTCGTACGGTACAACCGTAGAAAAGTGACAGCAGAGAATTGGTTTCTAAAATCATGCTTTTGGTATTGTATAATATTTCGATTATACGTTTAGAATACAATCGGAGTTAGGAGTAGTGTTGCGATCGAAGAAATGTCGCAAATAAAAGTTCGCTCAAATCTCATTCTCTTGGAATTTCACCTATGCTCTACATACCAACGACATGCGCGGTCTACGTGCCTCGTCGAGCGAACGTTTCTATCTGACCACCCGGTATCGGCGCAACGGACGAAACTCGGGAGTCACAATCGGGACATATTTTCCAACGCGAGATCGGTCCGGGGATGTCGGCGTACATTCGACGAAAACTTTTGCAGCTCGAGCGTGAGCGGTCTTTCTGTCTTGCAGCGTTTTCCAAAGTACCGCCAGCTATCAGGTAAACACATCCGTTGGATTGACCTACTTGCCAGGATTTAGGAGACGGTCTGCTACGATCCATCAATACGGCGGACACTGGCCGGCGGATAAAATACTAACGAGAAACAGGGGAAAGACGCGTGAGCAACGATTCATCTTACGTGTAGACGACTTAAGGGCCTATTTCGATCTAACAATCTAATTATTCTCGCGGGACTAATACGTCGTCGTTGAGGCAGCAATCATGGTAGATCGATAGGCCGACAAATGATTTGAAAGGAATCGCGAACTTGGAGAGTGATGGTACAACTGCGCGTGACTCTCGCCAGCAAGAGTAATAACTCGACGATAAATCTATCAGCCTCCGATATATATTCCCGATTTCTATAGATGCGATATTAATATATACAACGTTGATTAATACTTCGAATCCGGGGAGCGTTTAACATCACCGTGAGATTTGCAGTGTACCCCCACCGGACTCAAAGTGTTAATTATACCGAACGACACGGACTAATAGGGGCTATTATCTCGAGGTATGCGAACATTAAATTAGCGTTAATGATAATCAACTGTTATAAATTGATATATGATCTATTTTCTCCTAAGGCTCTATTTCAAGACTCCAATGCGAGTCCATAGTGAATTCGATCGCTCGTACTAGTGCACACCGAGGTCTGTTTACAGTTTTACATTTAACCAATGTAGAAAATTGCTAGACGATACTTGGCTGGCAAATTCTAATTAAAGAAATTTATTGCGGAAAATATTACGTCGGCCAGGGTTTGAACCTGGACCTCCCTACACTCTAGGGACTCTCTTTTACGTTTAACGTTGTCTTAAATGTACGTTCAAAGAGTATTTCGGCAAAACATGATCCGTATGGATGCTATACAGATCATTTTACTGGCTAAGAAATATTATATTTCAAGAGATATTGAAGACGATTCTTAAATACTATATAAGAATTGACTGTGAACGAGTTTTAGTGTGGACTCAGTGCGCACTGGTGCAAGCAATCGAATTTGCTATAAATGATACAAGGAATTACCAATTTGTAACAGCTAATGGAGCGGTTAGAAACAGCTCTTTCCTCAGAAGGAAAGATCGAGGAAGGTGATATCGAGACGAATACGATTAAATATCTTTGCTTTTAGTCAAGTCGTCATAAGAAAGTTGTAGTCGTCGGATACTTCTCGCGAGGTTGATCATAAGGATCGTATATACATTTACGAGTTGACGCTCTCGCGAACGAAAAATTGCCGACTCGGGTCAACGTAGAAAGTACTCGACGGGCTCCTCGAATTTCTGACCAGGCGAAATCGCCGTTCAACATCTCTCGGTTCATGCTGTATCGTCCTCGTGGATCGGCGCTTTCTGCCAAACGGCCACGCGGTGCTTTCTCAGCATCGAGTCGCGCGCTTTTTCACCTTTCGACTGACGTCTACACCTATTCCTCTATCACTCTTGGTCTGGGGAACCACCTTTACGCGGTACCTTTGCGCAGCATCTTCTTACTCAGTTGGGAGTTCTTTTATTTGGCCAGCCCAATTTTTCGCAACCTCCTTTCGCCTCCTTTCACCGTCACCTCCCGCGCCATTTCGTCTCTTTCTCCCTCTTGTTTTAGCAATGCGAATGGCAAGTTTTACCTAACGTCACCGAACTAACGACGTAAACTAGGAGTTAATAAACGCCTGGCTAGCTAAATTAATTCTCAAATTAGGAATAAAAAGAAATAAAACTCAATGGAAGTCTGATACTGGACATATGGTAAAAAACCATGTCTTTCAACAAAGTTTGTAAATTATAATAACGTGTGAGATATTTTGGTCATAGAACCTGAGCCTCTTCAGTAATAGGAATATATATTGATTTTGTTTATAATAGGAGATTAAGTTATAAAGCTGGATAATAGATTATTGACAATTCTTCATTATACTAGTCATATTTCCGAAAACCTTTTGTGCATATGTGTTCGAGTTACATAAAAGTAAAGGGCGAATAAAGTCAGCGAAGCAGGAAATATCGCAGTACTCTTTCAACACTGCTAGGATAGTAGAATAGTTCTTTTATCTTTAATATTTCTCATTCATTTTATAAACGGATATATGTATATAGAAAGCTCTGAATAATAACGGCATTTATAGACTACTGTTTCACCATGCTTCTCTTTCTCTCGCTCGCATTTTATGTCTCCTAATGGAAAAGAGTAAAAATCTTGTTTCCCGTTTCCGAAACAGATAATAAATATATAAAACTCATCCTTTTCCCCGAGCATATCCATCTCTTTTGTTGTCATAAAAAATTGAAAATTGACACAGTCGACGAGCCCGCGATTCGGTGTCGCGATCTCATTTCTTTACCGTTGGTATCGATCGATATCGATCCAGCAGAACATTTACCCGCGCAGATCATCGGCCCTAAGAACGTGTTTCGCACGAAGGGCTCCTTCCGCCCTTCGATCGTGGACTCGCTCAACAATTTTTCCGCGTTCCTCATCGCTAACGGTCTCGCTGGAGAGGAGCAAGTCTGAGCGCAACCCCTTCTCGGCCGCGTACGCACCAGCACGTCCCTCCGGATCTCCGCGCCCTCACCTGCGTCCTAGCGTTATACAACGACGGATAGACAGACAGACAGGCACCGACACGAAGAACAACCCTCTCGCACCGCCGCGCGCGCCTCTCTTCCTCCCTCGACGCGCGACTGCGCAGAGGAACGGCGCGAGGCGTCGGCGTCGACGTCGTCGTCGTCGTCGGCGTCGGCGTCATGCCGGGGGCGTCGCACCATCGTCGTCGGCAGCGAGCGTCTCGACCGAGCGTCGCCTCGTCTCGCTAGTATCACAAGCCGAGAGCCGTCGAGAGGGTCGTTCCACCTCCGGGAGTCGGTCTACTGATCGCGAGCAGCAGCCACGACGAGAACGGCGAACGGGATTTACGTGGTTCGCGCATACTGTCCCGACGTGTACGTCCGGTTTCACCGAACCCTCCGGGTGGCGAGAGAAAGAGCGAGCAAGCGCGCGCGCGAGAAAGAGAGACAGAGAGAGAAGGAAAAATGGAGCGCGCGGCCGGATCGATCGCGATACGAACGGATGGCTGACTCGAGAGTGAACCGCGAGCGAGTAACGTAGTCGTCCGACTCGGCCTGGCGAGCGGGAGCTTCTCCGTGCCGTGCCTTGCCGTGCCGGCGCCATTCAACGTCACCACGAGCTCGCCACGGGGAAAACGGCGACGTCGCGAACGCGCCGAGTGATCATCCCCCGGCATCTCTCGCGATTCTGCGTCGCGGACGGCGGAGAGGGAGGGACAGAGAGCCTGGTGTGTGGTGAAAGTGCTCATCGCGTGATTAGGTCGAGGTCGTGTCGCTCGTCGCTGGGACCGCTCTTGCACCATCCCGGTGACCTTCGGTGCCGGGGATGAAGCGCGAAGTTAGGTGACGGTTCCGCGCGATTCGGGTTCACTTGCTCGCGTCGAGCCATTCGAGTCGCTCGCAACCCCGAGATCCCGCCGGAGGAGCCGCGGTGAAAGTGTGTCATCGACGCGACGCGTTACGAGGTTTGGATCGCGACCTAGGCATCACCGAGTGTCGATATCTCGCCATCGTAGCAGTTGCCCGTGCATTGCTATGCGCGGCCTGTCTAAAGATTCTCTAAGATACGGAAGCCCCGAGAACCAGGAAGAAACTGGAGGTCGCATCAGCGATCTTCTGACAGTTCTTCAATTTTCCATATCCTTATCTTCTCGATAGGAGATTCATTTAGTCTAGAATACGCAATTATAAGACCTCAACAAACAACGTGCACACGTCATCTGCTTTCAAGAGCTAACTCCTACTGGCTATGCCATATCGACGTCACTGACGGTGATTCGGTCAGTGGAGCTTGTCAGTGCGCCCGAAGAAATAATTGGCCATCTACTCGAAAATCAGAATCTTGGGGGGCACAGAAAGGTATTAAATGTGTCCTATGACTGATCGTAAAGACGGAAAGTCCGCTCTGCGAGACATCTGAGCGAAACGTCGATATATTTCTTCCGCCCCATCAAATACACTAGTGACTATGATTGACATCGATTGATTTTCTGTAAAAATGTAATGTCGCTGCAAGGAGATTGAATTCTACTGTAGTCAAACCAGTGTGCTAAGCAGTAAATTTAACTTGTTCGGAGGCGAGTCCTAGACTCAATCTCCGATTGATTTTAAATTGTGCAGACGTAATATAGTAAACGTGTAATTAAAGCGCTTGTTCCTCGAGAAACTTTTCGTTGCCGATCGATTGGAGTACATTGCATACACGCGCATTAAAGGAAAAGGTGCGGATTCTTTCGTTGCGTTGCCAGTGCTTCTAGAGTGAACTCGGGAGGTAATTTACAAATCTTGATGCGTCCAACTAACAGACTGAACTTGAAATTGAAGACATATCCAGAAATATCGACTTTTATGACAAATAATGAACGAATTTCACGCTAATTGAAACAATTCTATTGGAGATAAGGTTTAAAAGAGTATCATTTTACGGATAATTATTATCGAAGTACATTTTCGTAAGCGTTTATCGTTGTAACTCAGCTCGAAAGGCGGATCCTAAAATTTAATAGCCAAGATAAATGATTTCGGAACGAAGGTGACTGATCGCTATCGAGTTGATTAATTTTTCGAAACGGCATTGGAAACGACTTTCCCGCTCGACGAGTTTAGCTCGGTAAGAGCTGACGAGAACTCGAGGAGCCGTCAATCGAAGACACTCGGGTATTTAACACGGCAGGAGGGAGAAAGAGTACGCCACGAGACAACGCGTACGCTCACAAAATCGCATATCACACCCAATCGCACGCACGATTCGCGCGTGCGTGCTCACGTGTTCACGGATGCAGCCAGGTGGTGCAACGTGGCCAGCGTCACGCACCCACACCTCGAGCGCCCACGCGAGATGCGTATGAGCGCGTGACGTCCTTGGCGCGCTTATACGAGAACGGCGATCGACTGAGCGAATGAGCAGAATCTAGCGGGAGGTTTCAGCCCAAGAGAGTGAATCATGCATCCCACGCTTTTGCCGGCGCCGCTCCTGCTGGCGGTGCTGTTCGCCTGCCAGGTGGCCCGGTCCTTCCTGCTGGAGGGCTCCGCGACGAGCTACGCGCAATTTCGCAAATGGAATGCCGGCCTGAACGGCACCCTCGAGTTCGAATTCAAGACCGAGCAGGGCAACGGGCTGCTACTCTACACGGACGACGGCGGCACTTACGACTTCTTCGAGGTCAAACTGGTCGAGAGCGCTCTCAGACTGAGATACAATCTCGGCGGCGGGGCGCAGATCGTCACGGTCGGCCACGACCTCGGTGACGGCCACTGGCACAAGGTGCAAATCTCCAGGTGTAACGAGAACACCACCCTGACCGTGGACGGTGTCGGCGCGGTCTCCACGTCGCGCGGCAAGGAGTTCGAGTTCGGCAAGCTCGCCGGCAACTCGGATGTCTACGTGGGCGGTATGCCTAGCTGGTACAACAGCAAGCTGACGCTGTTGGCGTTGCCTAGCGTGATATTCGAGCCAAGATTCAATGGATTTATTAGGAATCTCGTGTATGCCGACGGGGAGAATACTGCGCCCAGGAGGCAGGAGATGAAGAGTCGAGATGCTAAGGTATGCGAGAGTCCTACCCGTATCTTTTTATATCTTTTCCGCTCGACGATGTTCGCGTCTCCATTTCTTTTAACTACGAGATATTTTGGCAGGAAATTCTATAGAAAAATAGTGCTAAAAGCGGCGATTCTAAATCCAGATTCGTGCCGTCTTTGCGAATTCCCCGGCGTATTCACGGTGCCAAGCGCGGTTGATGACCTCTTTAATATTGGTAACAATATCGTTTCTCTCAAATCGCGATAATGCGCCATAACTCGCCTCCGCGCGAAAAACAGTGACACAAGCCAAAAGTAGCAGTTCTACAGGAAAACGATTTTAAACTTTCAATCTGCTTGCCGATACACAGCTACAATCACACGGTCTGCTAAATTGTTTTTATCCCTTTCCTTTCCCTGCTTTCATAGATCTTTCTCCATAATGTGAAAATCGTATTTTTCTTATGAACGATTCTTCTCTTTACCACTATATTTTTAAACGAAATAAAATCTTCGAGCTGCTCCTGTTTTGAATCAAACTTTTGTAACTACACTTATGTCGCTTTTCTAAATAAGAGCGCGAACGTTTTCGAGTTGATAAATCATTAAAGCGTAGCAGCTCGTACTTTTTATTCGCGTCACTTTTCTCGGGCGAACTTTAACAGCGAACTGATAAAGATGATAATAAAATTGGTACTGTACAAAATTACACTGTGTTCGTATCTTTTCCTTATTGTTTCCCAAGTCGCTTATAATCTATTATACGGTCCCATTTTTTCGCGTACTTCATCGCGAAGGGGCATTTCCGTAACGTACGTGACCGAAATAAGAGAAAGGGTCGTTCGCTCCGAGATCGAAGGTCGCCGGCAAATTGGGAGGGTGCCAATCACGAATTATCGGACAGTCCGATTTTGTTAATCGGACCGCACATCCTACCGGCGCGATTATACTGGAGAGGAAAGATATCGCCTAACTCAAGACTCGTGGCGTGGAACAAATCTGTTATTTTTCCGATCACGGCTGAATTGTTCTGTCGGGGAGCATCGAGGCGTATCTTTCTCTCGAGAGAATACAAACGTTTATTAATTAGTATTAAGTAATTAAGGTGGCACCTGCATAAACCGACCAAACGTAGAAAAAATTGAAATTTAAGTATGTTGTAGTTATAAATTTTATCTATCAGTACGCGAAATTTCAGACCCGGTCGCCGATGAAATAAAATAAAGAAAAAATGTTAAAGTTGTATTTTTTAACATTCTAGTATACGCCAAGTAACAGTTACATAACATCAATATTATAATTTCCTACTCAATAAGATAAGTGTAATATAACACCTATTGTTGAATTAAAAACAAAATGCAGTTGCTTGAATTAAACGTAAACGTCAATTCGGTCAATTGTATTTGCTATGGATTTTAATTTTAAGCATTGAACTAAATATCCAGATTATTAAGACAGCTATATGATGTTTTTCGTTCATTAATATTGACGTTGTTTCAACGATTTTGTTTCAATTACACTGATCTTCTTGATACATCATTTTCTTTCCGTGTAGTAATTGTCGCAAGCGATGCTTTTGTTATTTTCGAACAGTAGGAGAGAGAGAGATTATTATTAAAGAAACTTATTGTCTACTTCCCATTCGTTTCTATTTATTTTTTCATCTCCTCTTTAATTGCCTCCGTAGCAACTTGAATTGACGTTATAACAGTATGAAACGCGGAAAATCGCGAAAGTTGTCGTCTTGTGTCAAAGAATCGATACACGGTTGGTCGGAACAATACAGGTATATCCAGCGGTGTCATTGGCCGTGTGCAACACCGCGCGGCCGATAGCTGAGTCAGGTTCATCGAGAGATACCTCTTGACGCGTGTTACGTGAAAAGCGCGTGCGTGCGCTCCGTCAGCATAAAACCTAGACTTTCCCTACCGCGAATCTCGTACACAAGGGACTAAAAATAAATCCCTCCCATTTAACGAGAGAGAGAGAGAGAGAGAGAGAGAGAGAGAGAGAAAGAGAGAGAGAGAGAGAAGACCCCTCCTTTCATTCCTTCCGCGCTATTTTATCGCTCACTTCCGTCGATCGATACTCCTTCCATTGTCCGGAGGCAACATCTTCGGGATAATACAGCGCCTTTTCTTCCTCAATTTTTATGCGTGCGATAATTAGCAGGCGGATAATCCGTTCTAAAAGTTCAACGTCTTCCGGATACGCTTCTCCTATCTCGCGAGAGTTTCGCCAAGCGCCTGTCTACGCCGGGATCCGTTTAATTGTTGGGTGTGTTATTCAGAACTCGCAAAAGTGTTTGTACATTTTTAATAAAGTAAAGCACGTTTTGTTCTCTGTGTTTAGTTAAAAATTAAACTCCACGAAATAACAATTGTTCCAACTTCTGACTATATTTCTCGTTAGTGTTCTCGTTACTTTAGTGTGATAATCGGTTCTACCGATATCGACTCTTCAGCCTGTCTAAGAATATGTGTCTTAAGACGAGTTTCTTTCTTTTCATATACCGTGTAATACATGTTTCGTTTCAATACGCTTGTCTGTTGGCACTCCATGACAGAATTTACTATGTGTTACTGTGGAACTAAGTTCGGTTCATATTTCTCTCAATGGCCGTCTGCCAAGAATTCCTCCATCTACTCTTCGGATATGTATCCCGCTTTATCCAAGTATCCCTGGAATCTTGTATCCCATTCCGAAAGTAATCTTATCGTACTTAGCAAATAGAGGTCGGATATGCTTGTTATTCTTACGATGACATCTCGATATCGGGGATACAGAGTGATACTTCGCTTTCATGCATATGAAGGTTTGGAAAACGGCGCCGAGTGACAAATTCTGCCTTTCCCGAGTATTTTAAAAGCGCGAGAGTCAATTTTAAGACAGGTGTCTAATTTCAAATATTTCTATTCAAAAAACCATCACATCTAATTTTACGTGAGTTTTCTCCCTCCAAATTACTACCCGTTTCTTCGAATAACTTTAATAATTGACGGAAAAATGCGAAATATACTTCTCCAAAATAAAATACAATAGCTTTATTTTTCTTGACAGGGCACATTTTGCACTGTACGCTTATGAGCATTGCGGTTTAACTCTTTAAGCAGTACGAAGGTATATCATTTTAACAAATAGAGTTAAATAGGGCTATTACGATATAAATCAAACAAACGAGAGCGCCTTTAGGCCCAAGCGAGATGCTGGTAGCCAATAATAATCTAATATTTATTTTTAATTTGTACCAAAACAGTTTCGATCTTAATTTACTAATAAAGGCAATATTTAAAATAAACGAGAGAAATGCAACCTAAATAAAAAAAATTTTTGCGAGAAGAGTCACTTCAGATATTTAGCTAGCACCACGAGAACTCACTGTTTGAAGAGTTAAGTAAGGCGTACGTACTCGTAAATTTAGTCACCTTGCTGCTCGATTGGCCACACGCGGTTACGAGGCGCGCATCCGCTTACGATTAGATAAGGCGACAAATCGAGAATATCCGTCAGGGGGGTTGCCATGCGATTGCCAAGTACAACGATGTAACCCGGCCGGCATTATCGTTCTTCGTACATCCATACGTGACGTTAGGGCAACGCAGATAGATAAGCCAGATATATCAGTGCGCAAGAAATTGCGGACAACACATTATTACTTAATTACTTCCTCCCCGCAAAAATGTAGGTTACAATAATTTCTGACAGTCATCGTTTGAAATTTACGAGTGCATTCTACTGATGAAAGTAGTAAGGATATGTAATACAGGCGGGGGCGAATTGATCGCTTCAGAGCTCTAGATATGTGAAAAGATTCGTACATTGTCAGAGAACACGTGTAGCAGAATAGCCTCAATTATCATTCTTCAATGGACCCTTTCTTTTAAATCCGATCTTGATTTTCTCATTACGCCGCTCGCGTTTTACATTGTCTCCCATTAAATGCGAGCGGGGAAGATAAACGAGTTACGCCCGGTAGAAAATCGTCATTTCCGCGAGAAAACACCTCTGCAACTGCGGTTGCTTCGTATTAATATTATTTTTCTGTCGTTAACGTTGTAATGTACGCGCGGCACGAAAAGCGATTATCAGACGTACGCGGAGTAAGCGCGATCAACGGGCTACTACAAATGACTGTCGTGGAAAAAGCAAGCAATTACTCGTAGGAAGCAATTATTCCGTACCTGTTACACCTTCGCCGTGACTATATCGCGCACAGAATGAATTAAACAGTCGCTGAGTAAATCGAAAGAATAGAGAAAAGGGTTATTCGTAGCAGTGTATATTAAGTTTCGAGCAACGTCGCTAATATCAAATCGTAAAAGGATCAAGGCTGCTTTATGCAAGGCCATAACCGTTGCCGGAATCGGTAAAAATTAACCAATTACAGTCAACTGTTCTCGTCACTTTTAACGGTGATTGGACAATTTTTACCGATTGCGGTATAATTTAACAGTTACGGCCTTGCATAAGAAAAAGCCTTTAGCGTAGTGCAGTTCGCACGAGAAGACGGACAAGGTTTCAATTAATAAGTAACATGCCTAAACTAGAGTTGACTATTCAAATGAAGATTCTTCTTCCTCAAAAGTGCATATTGAAATGTGTATATAATTTGAAATTTGTTTAAATAAAAACGTACCGTCAAGTAGTACGTTTTAATAACGTAACAAGCATGCCTTTAGCGCTTAGATATATCTACAGAGCTCGAGCTGCCGAGAGAATAAGCGAGGCAGTTACAGTTCGTCGCCGTTTAGGTGATTAAACGGATTAAACGAGAAGATAAATTAATTAATTTGCACGGGGCGTATACTGCAGCAGCGAAACTGTGAAATTCGTTTCGCGGTAACGTTGTATCATTTCAAGGAATGCACGCGTGTGTCTCGAGCAGATGGCCTTAATAATGGCTGCGTTTCAAAGAACGGAAAGCAACCAAGATAGATCTCTATCGGATAATAATGTGGAGCGACAAGTCCGGTGGACAGTACAAATTGCAGGGTAGACACGCCAAAGCGCACCGTCACACTCGAG